AGTCACTTGTGCCAGGCCCCACATCAGCAAACCAAGATTTAACACTTAATCTAATTACAGTTCCAGCCACTCCCAGAAATGTAATCTTTAAGGTGTCAATGTAGAATTACCTGGTCAGTAATAGTGAGGTCATCTTCATGATAGGCCCCTTCCACGACCCTTACTTGAAACAATGCATTTGCTAATAATATCCTTTCTGCCTTTAAAACCTTTTCTTCTCTATACTCAGAAGAGCTCCTTTTTATTAGCTAGATGAGATGCTGCTTGATTCATGAATAGTTGAATAAAGCCAATTTAATCTTTCAATTTAGTCAGTTGAATTTTGTTTTTTAACACTTTGAATTTAGTTTGGCAAATAACCTTCTAGATACATGTATTTGTCAATACAAGCCACTAAAATTTTATGTCCAAGTCAGGGATCATCAAAGGAGCCCTGTCCCTAAACTGAACCTCAGGAAGCCTCATAGACCACTGTGAGTCTAACACATCTCCTCTGAAGTTGGTTCTCTTGGAAGTGTGATACTTAGCGCATCAAACAGCTGGTAGAGCATTGTGCTCTAACTCAGAGAGGCGTATAGGACTCTGTGGAAAGCTCTAGTTATCTGGCTATCAGTGTGAATGACGGAAAAGCTGTCATGCCAGAAAAATCACAACCCGTAACTTAACCTTTGCACTCCGAACCATTCTGGACACTGGCTACCAGCTACTCGACGCTAAAGGCAGAAACACGCGTTGAATTAACTCAATTCTCCGTAATCACTAATAAACTGCAATGTCCCCTGAAAGGGGACATCCGAGTGATATGCTAGAATTCCGATGTCCCCTGAGAGGGGACAGCGGAGTGCAAAGGGTTAAAAACACTTCAAATATACCTTCTTTAAAAAAATACCTCTTATGTTTTTAAGGTATGTATCAAAGTATCTAGACGTAGAGCATTGTAAGAAACGTTATCTTGTCTCATCTTCAAAAGACCTGTGTAGAGGCAGCAGGACAGGAGTCACTGCAATGGATGACATCACCACAATCAAGGCCTCCAGACTGCAGACATGAATGGCTAAGCCACAAATGACTGAGGACCTGACTCTAAGGAACTAGTTAGGGATCAGAGATCTTCAACAGGAATCCTAAATGTTATTCTTCAGCATGACAAGATCTGTAATTATCCAAAATCACCTAAAATTGCAGGTTAGAAGATAATCAAGCCATACTTTACTTTTTTCATAGTTAGTTCTGCATTCTGAAATAAATTAACCTGTTAACTGAGCGGGACCTATAAATACGTCAAACGTAAACAATATCGGGAATGGGCAGGACGTATGAATACGTCCTGGAACTATATGTTGCGCCCTGAGAGGGACGGTATATATTTTTTGTAATCTTTATAATTGTTTGTAAAATTTATAATTTTTTAATTCGATGTTTCCATTTTTTTGTTGGTATTCTTTTCCATTTTTTTGTAATTTTATATTTTCCTTTCTTCTTTATATATAAATAAATGAAAAAATATATATATCATTTATTTTAATTAAGTAGAAATAAAAAAAATAATAATAATAATAATAATAATAATATGAAATTACGTCCTCCGGGCGTGACGTACTGACAAGTCCTAGTGAAAGAGTATGCGCCCATTACAGGTTGCATAATTAAAAAGGGAACTCCCCAGTTAACAGGTTAAGATGATTAAGTCATATTAAAATATATATTGCATTCTATCATAATTTTGTAAGAAAATGTTAAGTTAAATGAAAAATAATGAATAGAAATTCATTTGATTAGCATGGAACAGTTAGGATGAAAACTAAGTTAAATGAATCACTAAGTTAGATCTCATTTTAGCAAGTTTTTTTTAAAACTTTCATGTTTTTAAATATGAAGACTTGGTAAAAATATTAGCAATATTTAGATATAAATAGGATGAAATGTGGATTACTCTTTTTTAAAAATAGAGGACCATCTTTCACATATTTCTATTAGGGCTCTACTTTGTAAAGTAGAAGAAGGTAGGAAGAGTATCAGGCTACAAGAATTCTGGGGAAGAAAGCAGTTTAAAGAAAGGGCATCTTAGGATTGCTGATGGAATCCAGAAAGTACAGGAGCTTCTACAGAGGGAAATTAGGAGAAATTCAGGAACTCTGGGCTAAGAATAGGAAGTCAACAGCCATATAAAGTACATATCATTAACCTCATATTACAAATGAGTAAACTGAGGCTTACTCATCAAGATTAGCTATCTTAAAAATAAAAATTTTTAAGTCTAGGATCGCAAAGCTCCTATATCATGAGAACTGCACAAGGCTAAAACTATGAAATATTATTAAAATGCTTGCAATGTGCATGATGGTACAGTAAGATTTTAAGGATTTCTTTTAAGTATAACAAAATTACATTCTCAGGCCTGTTTAGCACAAATACAATTAAAAACTTGTATCTCATTGTCAGACAAGGTATGAAGGAATCTGTGCTGCACATAAATTCCTAGATAATTCTCCAGCTACCAAGCACTTATTTTAATCAAAGTATCATAATTAACAGTACAGCACTTTTTTTCACAACTGTATAGAAACAGAGGGCCATCTTTGAACATTCATTCAAATTTTTCATTCAATAAACACCTAGCATTTATCATGTGCCAGGTACTAAGATAAGAAAATAAAAAAGAGTTTAACTTATAGTTCAGTTTATGTCATTGATTCAGTAGCAGTATTCTGTAACTAAGGAGCCATAAATCCACTCAACAACAATATTATCCTTTAGCCAGCATTTCTCTACCCTTGCTAAAGAAAAATGTGCAATTACCAGATGTTTTGCTAAAATGCAATTCAAGTAACTTATGAGCAGAAACAATATGCCAATGCTAGGAACACAAAAATTAGTGAGATATTATCCTTGCTCTCAAGAAACCCATAATTTTGAAAAAGATATACTATATCTTGACATTCTTCCAACCTAGCAGAGTAGTAGTCTCATAAAAATGAGTCACACTATATTTTATCTTCTTACTCTTAGCTACATCCTGCTATAAAATTACAATACATCTTTTCCCCCTTTGTGTTTACAAGTTCCAAATGTTTATAGACTTATAACTGTCTCTCAGCCAAGATGAATATATTTAGCTTCTTTTCTCCTTTCCTTTTAAAGCAATTCCTCAATATGAGTAATCTTTTTGGTGACTTTAAATAGTCTATTTCTGCATTAAACTCTAGGATCAAATGACATAATTAAAATACTGTTCCAGACAGGAAATCAATCACAATGAAAAACACCAACCTCGTTGATGATGTAATGCTTCAGATTTTGTAATGTGTGTCAAGTTTAAAACACTTGTTTTTATTTACCTTTTAAGTTTTAGGAATTATATTAAAAATTTATATTCACTCTAACCCTTTAATTTAGAGATGGAACATACTCTGAAACAGTGTAACTAACAAATAAGGTAAAGCCAGATTTCTTACAGTAATAGGAAATGAAGCATTAAAAAAATTACTTAACTAAAATTGCAAATCTACTCTTAAGCTCACACACAAAAAATAATTTTTCAAATGTCTCCAACATGCTCCTTTTAAGACCATATCTATACTTTATATTTCTTTATCTACTATATATCTACAAAGTAAACATACAACTTAAATCTTCTATCCTGGAAATACTTTGACAAAACCATGACAATATGGTTCAAGTAACAGAATTCACAATCAATGGAAAGAATTGAGTAGTGTGTCACAGTCTAGATTACTATTGGTTTAAAGTTTCAAATCTTATTAGAGTTACTTACACAAGGAGTAGAAACATTTGATAAATGTGTGGGTAAATATAAGCAAGTGTCAAATTAGGTCAGAACCATGTTCAGAACATATTTTCAAAATTGTGTTCATGCTATGGATGAGGTAACAATAATACATCCAGGGAAAATTCATTCTCTTGCTCACAAGCATTTAGCACTTAAACACAAATAAACAAACTCCCTAGCCTGATATTTAGGGCCTTATTTAATAAGACTCCAACCCATATCTTTCTAGTGTTACCTCCCACTACCCTAATTCAGCTTATCCATTTTTGAACCAGACAGAACTACACAACCTTTTGGGATAATTTAAGTGCTTTCCCATCTCAGAAATTTCACAGTCAATATTCCCATAGGTTACCTTCACCTCTCAAATTTCTATTTAAATTCTACTCACCCTTCAAAGTCCAGGTCACAAGGTACCTCTCTGAAGCTTTCCCTTATCCCCCAACTCACCACCTTTTCTAACCTTGAAAGCATTTAGGAATGCATAGCCATGACCACATTCTCTCTCATCTATCTTACAGTGTAACTGTTTATACCGGTATGCATGTCATATTTCTTCTCTCAAACTAAATGCCTATGGAGGTCTTTGATGCAGTCATAGTTGTACTGTCCCCGTCCAGGTTTGGCACATATAAAGAAATGATAAATATTTATCGGAGACTGTACTGAAATGCAAAATATATGTTACTTGATCCAAACATGCCATAATAATATTCTTACTGGTCTTCATTCACTAAGGAAATGTTTCCTCAGTACCCATTGTGTACTGGAACAGTGATATACCAAATTAATCTTAGACCTTACTCTCTCAAGAAGTTTATAGTCAAGAATATCTTCTAGAAATCTATCTAAATTATTATGATACAAATAAATTTAGTTTTTAATTATTAATGTTTTTACTAATGATAAGCAATAATAAAAAAACAAAATGGATCAAAAGGTACTTTTTTCACATGACTATCCCATTAACATTATACCAATCACTTGCTGAAAATCACAGATATTTTATAGCTGTGCATTCATATAATGAAAGAGCATACACCAAATGTTAATAATGGTAAATTTTTATCATAGGTTTATGAATGGTTTTTCTTTTCTTCCTTTTTGCTTATTTTCAAAATTTTCTATGTTTATCATAATTGTAGCAAGAAAAAAAATATCTTTTAAAAGAAAGATGGGAAACATATAAATTTTAAATAAACATACTTACCAGATCTCTGTGAAGCACCCAATTTGCATGGAGGTAATGGATACCATCAAGAATCTGATAAAGTAATGATTTAACCATAGATCTTGGCAACTGCATGGGCTTTTTATTTGCTTTTGATGCACGGTGAAACTTAATAATATGCTAAAAATTAAAAAAAATATTATTAACAAGAGTCTTTGTCATGTCAATAATACATAAATAAGACTATAGTAAATTCTCTATATTTTAAAAAATACTTATTAAAGGCCAATAATGACACAAAGAACAATAATTTGAATAACAAGGCCAACCAATAAAATGGAATTGATATTGGGGGTGAATGTGACAGTTTTAATGGGGTATAAGGATTAGATTTACAGAAATCATTAAAATTTTCATTAAATAGGATCAAATGGTCAAAAGGATTGATGTTTAAGAGCCTACTTAAAAATAGTACTAGTTATAAACTCTACTGACAAAATGAAAGATTAAAAAAGAAAAGAACTATAAATCTTTACTATTCTATAAAAAGTTAGCACATAGTGCATTTGAGTATCACACTGACTACATGTATATTTGAATTGTTGTAAAGTTCCACCTTCTTTTGGCACACAATGAAATTAGAAGATATTTCTAATAGTTATTGGAAAGGAAGGCGGAGAGAAAAATGGGAATTTACTTTTTAAATAAATTGGATCACCATAATCTAATTTTATGTCCACATGTCATATTGTGTGTTATAAAAGTACTAGAGCCCCGATGCACAAAATTCATGCAAGGGGCTCGGCCCTTGCAGCCTCAGCTTTGTCCAAAAGGTTGTCTGGAAGGATGGGAGGTGGTTCGGCCATCCGGTTTAATTAGCATATTACGCTTTTATTATTATCAATTGAGTAACAGGAATAAAATTCTACTTGCCTCCCACCTCCATCTCCACCCCACCCTTGTCCATAACATGCCAAAATGAGTACTGAATATCCATGAAAAGAATGGAGGTTCTTGTCAGTATCTGCAGTAATAGCATTAATTCTGAAAGTTACTCCAAGACCTGTAAGTCTACTGAAGTTATTCCTAAAGAGATTTTTAATTGACATATATGACAAACCACACTTATATTAAGTCAAAATTTTATTATCCAAAATTTAAACTTACTGCCAAGTTTGCTTTTTTTTTTTTTTTTTTACTTTTAGAAACGCCTCAGATAATATGTTTAAATGTCCTGAAAAAGTTTGGAATTGGAATTAGAATTTTTGTCTCCCATTATATGATGATAAAACACCCCTAATATTTGTAAAACTACATAAATACTTCTATCTGGAGGAGTCAGTTTTAAATGAGAAGATACTGAAAGAAATTAACCTTATCTTAGAAAGGGAAACAAACTATAAGTACATACTTCTTTAAATTTGAACTGTGTTACCACAAAAGAGTAAAATTCACTAGACATATTAGTAAACTACCATTAATTACTTGTATAAAAGTATAATCTCCCACTCAGCATTGTGGAAAGTGAAATTTCTGGTTATTACAAATACAGTAAAATAAGATGATAATGTGTATTGCTCAAATTCTTTTAAATCTCCATTAACATAATATTTATTATATTTGTTTTGAACTATGATCAACAAAACAAGTTGTCCTTTGTGTGAATTAGCAATATGTAGTGCATCCATTTATTTCTCTGTTCCTATAAAAAAGTTCTAAAAAGAAAGTGATTTTAGACTTACCCACAAATCATGTTCTGCATAGTCAAACAGCAGCCACACCTTCCTGTCACTGTGAGAAAGGAACACCTTCTGCAATGCGATCACATTGGGATGCTTCAATTCTCGTAAAAGCTGCAGGCAAGAGGAAGAGTCACTATTCTGTTATCAAGGAGAGGAGAATGATGAATTTCCTATAACTTCAAAATGCAATTTTTGCACATTTAGATAATCAAGATAAGCAAAATAAAAGAAAAAAATACCATTACTTAGAGATAAGCTGTCAACATCTTGGTGCATATCTTTCCCAATCCATCCATTTCGTGTGTGTGTGTGTGTGTGTGTGTGTGTGTGTGTTTAAAATGAGGTCATTTTAAAATGGTAAAATGTGAAATAGTAAACAAGAGTATTATCATATCACTAAATAATTAAATATATTTTGGTACGTGCAATTTTTTTTACTAGAAGAAAAGCTTCTTGAGAGGCAGGAATTGTGTATTAACACTGTTTATATCCACCCTAGACAGTATGTACTCAATAAATATTTGACAAAAGAAGGAAAGATAATTTAACAAGCCCTTCACTCATCCATGTGTAAAGTGTGTGGCTTCAGTTTTTAGAAAAGTAGTGAATATAAGGGAATGACTTTTATACCCACTGATAAAAATTGGTGTGAAATGGTCCTTTAAATAAGCAAAGGAAGAAGACTTCACAAAATAGAGCTTTAAGCTGGACTCCGATAATGACAAGGAAAGACAGACCAAACCAGCAAGTGAAAAATTAGCATTGGCACATAATAAGAGGCAGATGCTTCATTAAATATTTAACAACAATATTAGCTGCTCAAGGTAAGAGCCTGATAAATATGCCTGCCTCAGGCTATCCTTAACCAGGGTTCAGATTTAACAGGTACAGAGAAACATACTCAATTTGAATAATATATTGAATGCCTTTTAAATGTGAAACTCTATGGAAGATACAAAAAAAGAGAAAATAAAACTTCTATCAAATACTTTCTATGTGCAAGATGACTATACATGTTTTCTCTCATTTAATCTTTTATAACCTTATGATGCACACAGAACCTGATGTTCGTTGTAATAAAAATATCTTGACCAAAACCAAACACCCAGAAAGAGAAGAGATTTGCTTTTAAATAGATCTGCCTGGTTTCAAAGTCCATGCTTTTTCCACTATGGCTGAAGTTTGGGTCTTCAAAGCCTAGAACATAGCATTTAAGTACACTGACACTTCGTGAAACAATCACTAGCCTTTATATCCTTTCTCCAGAACTTTTCATTATATGAAACTGAAACTCTGTATCTTAAACATCTCCCTTTTTCCAGACCCTGGTAACCACTGTTCTACTGTCTCTCATAAATATCAAGATCAGAAACATAGCTCTCTCTAGCTCAGGGTGAGATATTTAACCTGGATAGAAACTGAAACCTGGGTATTATGAGGGCATTTCCTGAAAGGGCTATGAATCCAATAAATGCTATAAAATCCTACAGAAAATGATATACAGGAAAAGTGGACCAAGAGAACACGCCTGAGGAACTAAAACGGATATTAATCCAATCACTGGTTACTTTCAAGACTGGTGTACTCATAAAATGCTAGGTTCTAAACAACTACCACACAAAATTATAGTCCTTACCCCTATTTACTAAAACAAAAAAATTTAAAAAGTAAATTCCTTTACCACTATTTACTAAAGGAAAAAAACAGTAAACAATATAAATGTTCAATAATAAGAAAACGGATAAGTAAATCATGGTATATCCACATATTGTAGCCTCAAATATATATGCTGAGTAAGTTTTTAGATCCATTAGGAAAGACTTATGCTATAATACTGTGATGTAATATAAAAAGACAACAAAATATAAATGTTTTAAAACAGGAAATTTAATAAGACATTAATATATCGATAGTTATCTGAGTGGTGGGATTATGTGTGATCTTTCCGTTTGTTTTACAAGTTTTCTACAAATACCCTTACAATTTACACACACACCCAAAAGATAGCCCTTTCCAGAAATTTACCTGCTGAGATAAGGTATCACTGCACTATCACAGCTTCTCAGGCAGTTACACAAAGAAAGGAGATGAAAGGTACTTTCCTTAATTCTTTATTTCATCAAAGGACTTTAATCTCTTGCCAAACAAATATTTGTTCAACATGACATCATACAACTATAAATATGTTTTAATCACATTTAAACAGGAGGTAAGTATAGCATCATTTTCCTTGAACAATCCCACACTAAATGACATTTCCTGTGCCAGATATTCACTGAGTACTAACGTGATCCCAGAGGAACCTAAAAAAGAATATACAGTGAACATGCCAAAATTTTATCTGATTCCCCATTCAGAGTATTTAACTGACTATAAAAAGTCTCTAATTTTCACTGTCCTAAATTAAAACAATCTAAAGTTACAATCCTAAACTTTTTTTCTCTAAAGCACTAGTTAGGATCCTGACTGAATTTTGGGAGCCTTGTGATAGATTAACATTTACAGAATCCATTTGTATATTTATCTGCACACTTCCTCCCCTTTCATTCCCATTTTCTGTTCTCTGATGTCCCCATAAGTTCCAGATTCCTTTTCCAAGATATCTGAATGGAGAGTCCTCTTATACTTCAATAACTCACTTATTTCAACGTAAATCAAATTTTCTATTTTTATTAGATGTTACAAGTAAAGCACTGAGCATATCATTTAAAAAAAAAAATCTATGCCACCTACTACCACCACAAATGAAAATAAATGAAGCAGTGTATTTCATGGTAGATTTACTTAACTCAAAAATTCCCCAATATTCCTAAACTGAAACTTAAGAATTAGCATTTTGAAACCTGACACTTTTCCCCCCCCCACACTTGTGACAGACCTTTTGGAAGCTAGTCTTTATATAATAATACATCATAACCTTCCAGCAGATGGCACTCATACCCTGAAAAGGGGTCTATAAAACAGTAACCCAGTCATAGTTCAAAGTGGCTTTAAATTTTTTGCTTTATTTTACTTTAGTGATACTGTTTAGGTACGGAGTCATAATTTTCAAGCAGGTCTATGTTCCCCATTGTCACCTAATAGAAGTGACAATGAGGTAGCAGGTATGCAAAAAAGTACAGGTTTTAGAACTCAGAGACCTGAGTTTGAGTCCTGACTTAATAGTTGTATGACATATGTTTTCATTATATGTGGAATCTAAAGAACAAAATTAATGAACAAACAAGACAGAAACACTCATAGACACAGAGAACAGGCAGACAGTTGCCAGAGGGGAGAGAGGTAGGGGGACTGAGAGAAAAGGTGAAGGAATCAAGGAATACAAATTAGTAGTTACAAAACAGTCATGAAGATGTAAAGTACAGCATTATGAATATAGTTAATATTGTAAAAACTATGGTGTCAGGTGGATATGACTGTCTAAACACTAAGCTGTATGCCTAAAACTAATACAAATAATACTGAATGTAAAGTGTAATTAAAAAAAAAAAATGAAGTGGGACTGATTTATTACTATTTCTAAGAAACCTTCCCGGAAACTCCTAGTCAGAAATGGATGTCTCCTCTGTATTTCCATCCATACTGTATTTCCCTTAACATTGCCAATAACTGAATAAATTTATGACGAAGTTTAACTAAATATTTATCTTCCCTAATAGACTGTAAGGTCCTAGAGTGCAGGCATTGTGTCTACCATCTCTACATTTCCACTGTTTTGTACAAGCCAGACATCTGGTAGGGTATTTAACAAATGCTGCAGAATTAATGAGATCTATTTCCTATCTCTTCTAAAACATCCTATATTGACATCAGATTATCTTGCTAAAATAAAAAGTCTGATAATGTTAGCTCTCTCAATCCAAAATCTTAAATGACTTCAAAGTTAAAACTCTTAAACAGAACATTCAAAATCACCCTGGCCAGCGAGGCTCAGTTGGTTCAGTGTCATCCAACACACCAAAAGGTCACAGGTTCGCCAAAGCTGGTTTGGCTCAGTGGTAGAGCGTCGGTCTGCGGACTGAAAGGTCCCAGGTTCGATTCCGGTCAAGGGCATGTATGTACATTGGTTGCGGGCACATCCCCGGTTGGGGGTGTGCAAGAGGCAGCTGGTCGATGTTTCTCTCTCATCGACGTTTCTAGCTCTCTATATCTCTCCCTTCCTCTCTGTAAAAAATCAATAAAATATATTTAAAAAAAAAAAAAAAAAAGATCACAGGTTCAATTCCTGATCGGGGCACCAAACCAAAAAAAAACATTCAAAACCATCCACCTCAAAGGCTAAATCCATCTTTCCTACAAGTAATTTTTTAGGGGGGAAGTAGGCTGAAACTCAAGATAAAACTGCTTAGTAACCCTAACATTTTAACCAAAAATGAGGCAGGTGTATAAGATACAAGTTAAGGACGAATGAATGTTTCTCTGACAAAGGGAATGTCATAACTAACATATGTTGTGGCCTTCACCTTAAGGATACACCCTAGATAATCATCATGAATAAGTTCCCAAGGTCTCCACTACACAGAATTCTGCCCATTATTAAAGTAGTAAGCTATTTGGTTTTACACCTACTACAAACCATTATAACTTGTATTTATAAAATACATAATTGACATTTTCTGTAGTATTGTAAAAACAGGCAAACAAGTAGCCCTGGTGCCAGGGGTGAGTAGATCCCACTCAGAGAGCAGGAGGAAAGGAGATTTGGTTAAATAAGACCAACTCTTTTTTTCAATTAAAAACAAGACACACATAGGAATAGAGTAAGAGCATGAATCAGGACCAGCCCTAGGCATCCTGATGGGACAAATGACATTTTTCTTGAGTATGACTCTCACTTCCTACTACTATTCCCTCACCCATTTTCTGCACTGTTTAGTGACTTGAATTCAGATTCACAATGCTATCTGAAGTCCAGTCTCCCTGTAAGGCCATCTGTTTTAAAGCGTTAAATGCTTTAACAATTCTTTCGTGAAAAGTCACTCCCTTCTGTTTTCTTATAATGCATATAAAGGTTTCTTATCAGATTTGGAATTTTCTGCTTAATGGAAACAATACAGTAGACATTTCCTGGATTGTATTTTGGTCAGATCATTAAGTAGCTTTTCTTATTA